GGTGTGTGTGTGTGCGTGTGTGTGTGTGTGTGTGTGTGTGTGTGTGTGTGTGTGTGTGTGTGTGTGTAAAAGAAGCAAAGATATACCTTACAGGTCATTGTACCGTGAAATCTGCATACTGTTCCATAGGATCTAATAATAAGGGAGTCTAGGAACATACATTATCTGCTTGCCCTGTCACAGGCTTGCTGATCTGAAACCTTGACAGCCAACTTCTACTCTTGACAAATGGTAACATGCTCAGCATTTGAGCAAACTTCTTTGACAATAGCAACTGATGATGTAGGTTCACATCCTTCATATGAATCTCATTTTCACAGTTGGCTATAGAAAAGTCACATTCATTGGTAAAATCTGCTTTGTTGATTTATTTCATTCAAGCACCACTCAGTAGAAAAGGAAGTGGCTCAGGTTGGATGTTACAGCCAAATGCTACCAGTCATATCACTTAGTGTGCAATCAAACAAAAAACAGACATTTTTCTTCCATGGTTGCCTTGCTTTGTCTGTCCCCTTAAGGCATGAATTTGGCCACAGTTGAGATCTCATCTTGGAGACTTAAGAACTTCTTAGTGTCCATCCAGGGAGTCAGCATAGCTTGGGTTGATGTGGATACACTTGTGAAGCACGCTCCTTTGGTGCACTTTCTCTCTCTCTGTGTACACGCACATATATACTTTGATATACATACGCTGATGTGTGATCTCATTATTTGTGCCTGGCTGTATTCATAAACATATTTTTGCGAATTTGGTTTGGGTGAAGACGGGTAGAGGAGTTCTATGTCTGATATCCTTTTCCATATTTTTAAAAACCTATTCTTAGGATTGACAGCGCCTGTTAGGATGTGCTTCAGGGAAGATCTATAGGGTGAAATCTTGACCCTAGTGAAGTTGGTGGGAGTTTTGTCACTGATTTCAGTAGACCCAAAGTTCTATTGAATAGAACTAAGGTTTCATTTATAGTCTCTGGATGCTGGAGACACTCCTCCTTCATCTTTGTGACTCACAGTACACCCAATGTGTTCATACAGCCTTCTAAATAATGTGTATTACAAGGCATAATTTCTTCTTTCTGAAGCAAGTTGCTGAGACCTTGTCTATATTCACACTGGCACCACTTTATCTAAAAGGACGATTTTAAATGGGTTCAGTTACGCTGGTGTAACAGCCTTAGTGGACACTCTCAATTAGAGTTCAAATTGTTTTACATTGATTTACCTTAAGCCAATTTCTGAGGAAACATAGCATCACCAAGATAAGGCAGATTTAAATCCAATTAAGAGTGTCCATGTAGACTGGCTGAACTGTATCATTCTCTAAACCAATTTAAATTGCTGTTATTTTGAAGATAGACAAGGCCTAACATGATAGCATGCTTGATATGTCTCTATATTTAATTTTAAAAGATTGTGTCTTCAGGAAAGAAAATCAGTAAAAAGAAATACCTGACAGTAGTCAGAAAGTTACGGTTTTTAAAAAAGTATCTAAGTATATTTGCTCTTCACTTTAACTTACTAGGAAAAGGCATTAAAAATTTTGCTACTGTTGCTTTACATTAAGGTTATAACACCAACATTAAATGTGGTGTCCCTACGCAAAAGTTGCTGTCTATTCTGATTTAACATTTAAAAAACATTGTTTGGCGTTTGCATGCTTAAAAGTAGCACAACTTTTCTGTTTTACAGGCACAAAAATCACAAATCCAATGCATGCAAATGGATCAACTTCAGTGACCCAGCTCAGGATACAAAGTCGAACACAAAGCAACCAAGCAAAACAGAAAACCCTTGACTCACACTAATGCAAGTCCCTACCCCATGTTAGATATTCTCTGTGTAGGTATATGTATCTACAAAAAGTGCATTAGCTCTAAAAAATGTGGAGGAATCTACTTTGGCAGGGCAAAAGCAATCTTTTCAGCATCTTAGTACCTCATGTCATAACATTTTGGCATCTACCCATTGCCAAGGAACAGCCAACCACATGCCAAATGGAGTTGAAACTAACATGGGATCAGATATTTGATGACAGCCTAAACAAAGTCAGAGCAAGACAGAGCTGCAATGAAATGCTCTCTACTACAGAAAAGGTTCTTTAAAGCTCTCTTTGAAAAGTTCATAAACAGCTATGATTATCTGGAAGGAAATTTAGACTAAAAGCCGAGAATACTCACTGAATTGGGATGTGCATTGATATGATCTTGTTGATTTATGTCTTAGGGAGATCATCCAGGAGAAGTGACCCAAGCATAAATTTGGCACAGAAAAATGCTTACAGTTTTGCCCTGGAGATTTTTCCATGGACTTTAATTAAGCCAAAGAGTCTGAAAGGCTCTGTCTCTTAAAATCAAGTGAGACTATATACTTAACTGGTACATTATTCCAAATCAAGGACATACGAGCTGATTTGGTTCCAGATCATAAGCACATCTCACTTAAATGGTTGCCACAAAAAAGTGTTCTATCACATCTTGTATGGTGCAACTAGGAGCAGGCCGGTATAGTGAAGTTACCTCTTTGCTTACACTTGGAACAAGTAACTTGCAGTATATGCTTGCAAAACGCACAGATTTCAAAACAAAGTATTTCAGGTTACACACACAATGCAAAGCTATGATACTACAGTCTTTAATGCACGCCAATAGGAAAAGTTCCTAAAAAAATAGTCATGCAGTTTTTGTGCCATGGGAAAGATAATGGCTATTTCGTAGAAATAGATCCAACTGGCTCCATTGGAGCAGCCGTATAAATACGGTATTCAAAATAGAAGTAATAATAGGTCCTGCTGTGCAACATCTTTTATTTTCAAATATTGTTCCTTCTGTAAGCAAAGAAACATACAGTTTAGGGGCTATGGTATCTTGTTATAAGGTTATAACTGTGTGCTGAAGAGTGAATTTTATTGAAGTGCATTGCATCATGCTAATAATGTTCAATTTATAGAATTTCTTTAGATGTTTTAGTTCTTCTTGTTATAACAATTAACAAAAACAATGCTAAGAATGGACAATGGGGATTGCTAGTTTAATGGGATTGTAATATAGTGTAGAATGATGTTCTGACAAGAGGCTGCATAGCTAAACAGGTGCGATCACAATTATATTCCTGAAGAAAAAAGGACAATGTGCATGTAAAAACTAACCTCCCTCTTTGCCTTACCCTATAACCACACTGTTCCTTGCCTTCACACCTGCTTCCTGCCAGGGACCCACCAGGATGCTTTTTTACATAGGATTTTACAGAGCACCTGCTTTTGGCTGGGCTCATCAGATGAACAGGAACAGTGCAATGGCTGTCAATGGTTTTCACTTGTTCCATGTAGGAAGGACAGAAAGTAACATGCCATGCTGAATAGAGATTGCCAGTTGGAAACCTTTATTTTATATTATTTGTCCAAAGAAAATGAATCTTAAATAATTAACTGCAGAAGTGTGACTGGTTTTCATTCTGTGAACCACTTTTTTCTGCTATGGTTTAGATTTCTTTTTTGCTTTATGGCTTCTAGCGTACTTCCTAGCAATATTTGCTGTTGGTTGTACCATAGACATACACATTCACCTATCTGGTAATATCTTATTATGTTCATAGTAGAATGTATGCAAGGAAGAGGAAAAACCATACCAAATGGACTGGAAGCAATCAGCATGTAAATAAAACAGCCAGCACTGGTAGGAATCCACAGTTTCAAGACAGACAAATGTGGTAATGGAATCTGTCTGCATATTAATGTAGCATCATACAAAACCTAGCAGGGATATTAGAACAATGAATGGCTAAACTTTTGCAATAACAGATCTGTAAGTGAGTCTGCCTTAAAGATAGCCTATATTTGAACAGTTCCATCTCCCTCTCTTTCCCTCTCTCTCTCTCTCCACCTCCTCCTCTTCCTCCTCCTCCTCTGGTAAGAGGTGGAATAAATCCACAATGATTTGATATCAGACAAGCTCAACAGTGAAAAGAAGGAAAAAGAAAAAAGAAAAATATCTGGCCAGGTCCAGTGTATTTTTTAGAGTGGCAAATTATGACTTCAGTAACAATGTCTGTGCAAAATATGCCTCTTTCCTTTTACAGAAACCAGTGTCTAGTACTCTTTTTGAAAATTTCTGACATGTGCTTATGTCCCTCTCAAAATGAGCAAGACATAAAACTACAGAACCCGCTCCCAAAAATACAAGCAGTCAGATGATCTTCTGAAGCATCTGACCTGGCATTTCAACGGATAGATAATTAAAACCAGGACACCCACCTTGATAGCCCTCCTGGGCTGGCAGTCCTAAACTATTGCTTGGAAATCCTATAAGTAACCTAGCAATAAAATTCTTGACATTAATAATGAAAACAGTAGCAGTGTTTACCCTTTGAATCCATGTTCATCTCGCATTCCTCATAACACCTTTAGGAGAGTCATTGTTTATGGCAGCAAGTCATTATCCATTGCTTCACCAATCATCCCCTTTAATAAGCAGGAAATCCACTCCTATGCCAAGTACCTTGAATTGAGTTCCCATAACACACTGCTCTCATGACCTTTGGATCATTACATGAAACCCAGCACTCAGAAGGAGAAGCTGCATGAGAGGCTTTTGATCTCTGAAAAAAAAATACCCCCAAATTCCCACAATTCTCCTTGAAAAACACCCCGTATACAATGTACCCTCTTCTTCTGTATTCTAGCAATAGTCTTAAGTCATAAATTAGATTAGTCTTCCATCAAATAACTTAAAAAAGAAGGAATTGTAGCAGACCAGTTTTGCCTGGCTCAATGCCAGTTAGCAGCCAGTTCTTTTAGAATCCCAGTCACTGTTCAAAAACTGAGCTTGGAAATCACATGAATGCTGAAAAAAAAATCTTCACATCGATGCAGGATTTTTCCAGGTTTTGGGGCTGGGGAATGGGAAAACTGAGGCGGGGAGAAGAGTCCTATGAACAGTGAGTAGGATCTACTTCACGACCGTGAGGCGCACCACATTCTGGAGATGCCAGCCGTGTTTTATATTGCACAGGTAAGAAGGAAGTCCCCCCTCGAAAGTCTGCCACCTGGATCAGTGATCTCTGCACATTGGCAAGTTCACAAACGTGAAAACGTTGAATTCTGTCATGATGGAGAAACAGAGGAAGATGCCATATAGGAAAAGGCACACACACCCCAGCTTTTTATCCAACTTCCATTTGTTCATGTGGACACCAAACACCTATAAGAGACATGGTGATTTGCTTAAAGGAAGCAACATGGTAAACAACATTGGACATTGGTGGCAAACACCTTCTCCATCACATAAGCATGTAGCTTACTTTCTGCTTCTGCTGTGTGCTGCTGATGCAAAGTTCTGTTCTCAGCTGAAATGATCATATTATGAGAGATCATAGCAGACAGAGGCAGAACCATGGCTTGGGAAAATGGGTATAGCTCCATAAAAGTCACTCTGACTGTGCTGATTTTCCTTACCTAAGAATCTGGCCAAGCAACCCAATATTTTCATAGTCTGGCAGGTTCAATTCCATTTAAGTTGATGAGGTAGTCTATATCATTAAATCCCCAAAGACCAGATTCCTTCCTGCATGCATGAAATGGCTCATGTGTATATCTGTCTCCCTACACAGATTCAGACGCCTCTGCATGTGCTTTAAAGCCAGCCTAATGGCTAGTCAGTGAAAATGTCAATTCAGCAACCGCACGAACCCTTTGGCTGCATCCAGATGTGCAGGGCTGTGTGCTTGCAGTGGCAAAAATAGTAGTGGCACACATTTGTGCTGTAGCGCACACCCCACACATGCACTTTGGCGAGGGACAAATTGTCCCACTTCCGGCAAACTGACCTTGCCTGGTTCTTCCTGGCTCCCAGAGTGCTGGAGGAGCTGGGTCACAACTGCAGGAGTGGAGATGCTCTGGCCAGGAGCCAGAGCATCTCCCGGGAGAACCAAGCCTTCCTGTGTTGTGGCATACACTCCTGTTCCATGTGCTATGCCACATTTTTTTCCCAGTGCTTTTTTTTTTTCCCTACCAGGATTTTCAGTACATTTTAACATGCTCTGCACACGCCTTGTGGCACCACAAAGAGGTTTGCAGTACCACAAACTGTGTGTGTCTGAACACAGCTTTTGGGGTCAATGGTTGGTGCAATTCCTACAATTGTGGTGGAACACACAGGATTCATCCTCCTTCAACTGGCTCCAGGACGGGGGGGGGGGGGGGGAACAGGG